GCACCCTAAAACTCAACCCTGGGGACAGACTGATCAGTTTTGACATAGTATCTCTATTTACCAAGGTACCAATAAAGGACACTCTGACACTCATCCAGCAGATCTTTCCAGAAGACATCAAGACCCTTTTCCAACACTGCCTAACGACCAGCTATTTTCAGTGGGATAATGAGTTCTATGAACAGACAGATGGAGTGGCCATGGGGAGCCCCTTGGTTATAGCAGCTAACGACACCCATCAATCGCAGTGACAGATAATCTCTCCCTCTTATCACAACAATACACCCACAACAAAAAACACGCTGATCACCAGAATCACCCATCTCCTGAAAAGGACAAAAGCTGTTCCCACAGCTATAAATACTCAACTATTCAAACAAACTGCACCAGAGCACAGAAAGAGTTCTGACTCCTGTCCTCTAAAGATGCCAGCCACAGAGACTGGTGAAACGTTAGGAAGAACAACCTTCAGGACATGGCCAAAGAGCCTGAAAAACCCACAATAACCATCATTAATTTCTTATTTATTTATTTATTTATTTATTTATTTATTTATTTATTTATTTATTTATTTATTTATTTATTTATACCCCGCCTATCTAGTCATTCCGACCACTCTAGGCGGCTAATTTAGCAATTCAACAGGTTTTTTTTGCAGATGATCATGGAAAATCATGTACTGACAAACAGAGGAAGCACCAATAATGAAGTCACTGGTCACGATCCACTGAATCTGTTTCACAGATAAAAAGAGTTCACACTTGTGTAAACCAAAGAAAAAACACCAATGAAGACATAGCATGACCTTGAACTGTGGCCACTGTAGCCCCATATACAATGGCGCCTCGCTTGACGACGTTAATCTGTTCTAGCGAAATTGCTGTAGAGTGAAATAGTTGTCAAGCGAAATAAAAAAAGCCCATTGAAATGCATTGAAAACCGTTCAATGCGTTCCAATAGGCAAAATACCTGCTCGTCCACCGAAGATCCTCCATAGGGTGGCCATTTTCGGGTGCCTGTAAAGTGAAGAATCCATCCCTAACACAGCGGGGAGCCATTTTACACAGCAGGTGGCCATTTTGAAACCCGACATTCAGCTGTTTTCTGATCTTCGTAAAGCGAAAAATCGGTTCCCGAAGCAGGGAACCAATCATCATAAAGTGTTTTTCCCATTGAAACATCGTTTCGCGATTGCAAAAGCGATCACAAAAATCTAATCATCAAGCGGATTTGTTGTTTAATGAGGTAATCGTTCAGCGAGGCACCACTGTATTGTAAATCACTGTATTGATTTAGGAGTCCATTAACTACATCTAATAAACTCTAAATTCTACTATGCCATAATTTAATATGAAAACACAGACGTTCAATGTCTTCGGTGTTCACCCTCTCTTGCCCCAAATCTTATATGGACTTCTGACACAGGCTGTATAGAGAATGTGTTGATCCACAGAATATACAGACATGCAGAAAGAGCAACTGCTCCCAAAGGCTGCCATTACTGGAAGGATCTGAGGGGAGCCTCATAAGGTCCCCTACCAACAAAGTGTTGGTATGGATAACTCTAACTTTTATATATGTATATTTTAAAATGGCTAAAAATTGTCATTTTGGGGCTCCTTATGGCTAGGTACACAAATATGGTACTCAAGCCCCTTAAGCTTGCCCACTCTTGTTTTAAAGGCACAGAAGTCTCAATTTTACCTCACATCTGAGATGGAATGTATGCGCTTGATGCGTATCATATGACCCCCAGTACAGACCACTGGGAAGACAATTACGGCAATTTGCTTTCTTCGGAAATGCAGAGAGTAGCAACTTAGTTACCTACATTCAGCCTTAGAGAACCAAATTTTTTTTGGTGGGGTTCCGGATAAGTACAAATTAAATTGTTGTCTTTAATCAACAAAAGCTGTTGGGGTTCCGGATAAGTACAAATTACCGTATTTTTCGCTCCATAAGACGCACCTTTCCATAAGACGCACCGATTTTTTAGGAGAAGAAAACAGGAAAATATAATCTGTTTTCTTCGCTCCATAAGATGCACAGACTTTCCACCCCCCTGTTTTGTGGGAAAAAAGTGAGTCTTATGGTGCAAAAAATACAGTAAATTGTTGTCTTTAATCAACAAAAGCTGAAGATTAAATTTGTACACCGAGTCCACCGACAGACATCTATTTTGATAGTGTTTTACTATCTAGTCTTACAAAGAGTTGTTAGCAATTTAAAAAAATATTTTGAGAATTTTGCATTGCTCCTATTAAAAATATGGCCCACCAGTGGATTTTCTTCTTTCCATCCTGAAACTGCTTTGGAAAACACTACATTATACCTCACAGGGCAGGATTCACCACCCTAGAAAGAAGTTTCACTACCACTTCCAAGGGATTGCAAGCCAGATGAAAGAATTAGATAGAAATATATTTCCATCAGGCCTTAATTGAAATTTTACTAGTTCTGGACACAGATTCTCCAGCTATGTTTATATAACAGCGGCAAGTTCTTTTGAATTTTTGCTGAAAGCTGCCAAAAATCCACGTGCTATGCCTAAGCCTAGATGCAGATGACTCAGAAAAGGGAACACTGTCATATTGCTTTTTTGCCAGAGGCTTTAAAATAGGACATGTAATACCTGCATTAATTTTTGGCTCATCAAACCCCTACTTTCCATTATGGGACTGAGTTTAATTACAGATGCACACGGTCACAGATCGCATTCGTCGTGAAAGACTGGTCATTCGTCAGTCTTTCAGGATGAATGCTTTGCATAGACAGCTTATGGGTTTCCAGCCGTGTCAATACCTGTTTATTGTTTAAATAGTCCAAACTTTTGATGGCAATATCCTGCACCATATTTGTCAGGGAAGGCAAGATGTCACCTAAAACAAACCATAACATCTAGGAATTGACTGTTTTATCAAGAGCAAGACAGGGTAGCAATGGGCTCACCACTGTCCCCAGTTATTGCAGACTTTTTAATGGAAATCTTTGAGCATAAATAAGGCACTCGAGGACACCCCTTTAAAACGCTCACTGTTTCTGAGGCATGTAGATGATGCTTTCTTGATTTGGCCACATGGAAAAGAGGCCCTGCGCAAATTTGTTACCTATATTAATGGCCTTCATCCAAATATTGAATTCACCTTGGAAATAAGAGAATGCTGTGGACCTTCCATTCTTATACGTTATGGTCTACTGGAGGCTGGATGGGACATTAAATCATACAAATCTATAGAAAGGCCACTTATACCAACCAATACCTGAATGCCCTCAGCCATCATCATCCTGCCTAGAAAATATCAGTCCTTTGTACTTTAGTTCATAGAGCATATGTGATGTCAGATATGGATTCTTTGGATGATGAGCTCCAATTGTTGTGGTCCATCTTTAGGGAAAATGGATATTCTACTAGACATTAATTGGGCATTGGATTATAACAAGAAAAAAGTGAGACAAAGAGAGGATGATGATGAAGAAATAAAAGGAGTGGTCATTCTTCCTTTTTACGGACAAGTTTCAACAAAGATAGGAAGATTGGCTCATAGGCTTCATTTAAAAAATGTTTTCAATCCTATTAATATAATCAAACAAATGGTCCTCTGGGACTCAGAGTCCCAAGGATTAATCGAGTACCATGGTGCTGTGATCAAGTTTACATCAACCATACTGAAAGATCTGTTACAAAAAGAATATCTGAGTATTCATAGTATATTAGATTACAACAGCCTGAAAAATCTGGACTGGCTGAACGTTGTATCAAATATGGTCATCAGTCCCAATGGAATTAGGTACAAGTATTGGCCAAAACTAGTCAATTCTGGGATAGAATTATTATTCAGGATCTCTTGATAAAACCTGAGCTACATTCCATCAACAGAGATAGTGGCATTACTTTTAGTGCTCGCTGGAAGTCTTTGTTCTGTAAATTGGATAGACTTAGTCGGTTGCCCTTATATAATACTGACCAGTGTGGGGTACTGGCTCTTTAATGTTAATTTGCCTGAATTTAGTCTGAATGTTTACCTAGCTGGTTTTGATTGTACCAATTTGTATTTAAGGTTAGGTTTGTTTTAGTTGATATCTTGCCTTCCCTGATGAAGTTGGTATAGGATATTGCCACTGAAAGCTTGGACTATTTAAACAATAAACATGTATTGACATGACTGGAAACCCACGAGCTGTTTATGTGAGATATACATAGATTCAAATATGTTGCCTTTTTAAAAAAACTTCCATCCCCATCCCCCAATTTTATCATATACACTGATGAAGAGTTCTGGAGAATGCAAAAGCTTGCACATTCTGTGAATTTATAGTTAATCTTAAATAAATAAATTTATTTATTTATTTAAATTTATACACAACCCATTTAGTGAGTATGCCACTACTCTGGGTGGCTTACAAAATATTATAAAACATAAATGTACCGACCATCTGTGGACACTGAATAGAAGCCACTTTGGCTTCACAATTAAGTGAGAAAATAACTTCTCCTTGGTGAGGTTCAGCAGATTGTTGGGTCCAAATGGTAATCTTCTGAAATTTGGAATTACATATCATATCACTTTTGGAAGAGACTGGTACACCTGCTGTTAAATACCTTTTTGTGACAATACACAATCCATGGATGGAAGTTGCAAGATATCCAAAATATAGGTGCCATATAAATTTAGGCCACTGATCTCTTACCTTATACTTGTCATCTCACCTAGCAGCTGGATCCACTCAATATTAGCAGCAACACATGAAAGCAGTTAAGTAAGAAGATATGACTTTCCTAAAACAGGTCAAGAAAGCAGGCCAATTAATCTGGCTCGAAGGTGTTCCTAAATGTGAAGGCTGATGTAACTGAAAGGGATATTATATCACCCCAAGAGGAAAGATGCCACACTATACTGCATATTGGAAGTATCTCTCGTGACATTACGTACATTTGTCCCTGAGACTGCTACTGCTGACATCTCACTCTGTTGCTCATGGATCTTATCTCTGTTACACACCTGTTTTAGCCTTGCTAGTTCCTTCAAAGCTCGTGCCCACTGTTGCTTGTAGTGCAGTTTTGCCTTAGTGGCCGATTCCAATTTCCTTTCAAGGTCCCCCTAATGAAGAACAAAATTCTATCAACACATGTTGTAATACTGGTAATAATCTTTATCCAATTGCATATAAAGAGGTTGGATTACCAAAACTGTTTAGCTGGGTATGTCCCAGCTAAAGCTGTTATGCAACTTGATGTAAATATTGTGGCACACAAGCATAGTCTTCTTTAAGCAACAGACTTATTTTTATTGTCTAACTATGTGAAACTGGATTAGTCTGTACTCCAAGACAGTTGATGTAAACAGTTTTTAAACATCTTCAAAAGAATTAGAGATAACTTTTTTTATAATAACCATTAGCTATTCATATTTGAGCTTAATTTATGATGTCTTTGCATACGAATCCTATCCTTGAAAATTAAGTTAATGCATGACACTTAATTTGTTTAGATTGCATTGTTAAAGTCTTTCACTGGAAAGGTCATGTCTCTGTATTAACTGATCTCCTTTTCTCAAAAGCAGCAGAGCCTCCTAAAGCACTGGGGTTCAAGGAAGATTTTTCTGTGTTTTAGGCTAGAGAAGAGTTATGCCCTCTAGATGTGTGATTCTCATTTTTTTTTTTAAAAAAAAGCAAAAATAACAGAATGAGTCACATTCCTTCTGACAGATTATCTTTACCAGGAGAGGGACAAAGCAAGTGTGATTTTTTTTTGTTTTACTCAAGGCTGAAATCATGTTGCTGAATAAACAAAATTATACACACATATTCTGCAATTGATTGCAATTAACAAGTCCCTGTTGGGATTCTCAAGTGTGCACCAAATCAGCAAGTATGAACCCCACTGAGAATCCCATTGGCAATTTTTTATTGCCAGATACTGAATGTTCTTCCCCTTCCTCCATACACATAAGAAAGCAACAGGACTTGAGCCATTCTCTCAACAGCATTTATATTATTGGTCACGGTTTCTTCTGGATCAGAACTTGAAGCACTGTTTCATAGTGGATCCAATCCAATGTATACTTTTGTATTCCAGGAATTCACTGGGGTACTATATGCTGTCCCTCTTGCTTTGGAACAGTAGTCTACTTCAATATACAATCTTGCCTGGAACGCTCCTGTATATTTGCATGAAGTTACTGGGTGTGGTCACAAGCAGATTTGGAGCACCCTTCCACCTATATGCCAGTGACACTTAAAAAACTATTTCTCTACTAACTTCTGAACTTTATAGATTATGCATGACCAATATCAGTCCTGGAATTGGGGGTTAGACTCCCCATGAAAGAACAGACTCAAAACTGAGTTATGCTCCTGGATCTCTTGGTGTTAGATGAGTGGAAAGGTAAAATGCACTGTGTATGAGGCTTCTGTTGTGTGTGGTATAACAGGTGCAGGAAATGTAAGTGAGATGCCCTATTGTGTACATATTACGTGTGCACTCAATGATCTACACTGTCTATCAGTCTGCTATCAAACTAGGTTTTAAAATATGGGTGTTAGTCTAAAAAGGATGATATGACTCAAGACAAAGCTACCTCAAGGAACACTGTTCCTATTCTAGGCTTCTGTGTTACTGTGATCTTCAGAAGATATGTTGAATAAAAGTTCCATTCTTTGGTCATACAGTTATGGACCTTCCCTGTGGATGCATCTACCTTATAGAATAATTTCATACTTGTACAATATAACAGGGCTCAGTGCTGGCACATTTTAGGCATTTATTTATTTATTTATTTTTAAACTTGGCTTTCATCCAGCCATGAGCTGTACCTAATTCTTGTAAAACTCACTGCCATATGATGTATTTTTATTACATTGTTTGTGTCATTCTGAAGCCATTGTGCTGTAAATGACTTCAGGATTTGTGCAAATAAGCAGCCCAGATATATTTGTAAACAATAAATGAAATAATATACGTGTATACTGAAGGTAAAGAGCTAAGACCCAAGAACACTAACTTCTGTCTTTGGCATGACATTGTAACATAATGGGATTTAAAAAAACAAAGTGAGCAACCTCATACACAACGGCATTCATGGACTATATCTGACTATTCAAAATAATTGGTATCCAAACCTAAATGGAAGAGATCAATGTTTATAGAAGCTAGCTCCAGGGCATGAAAAATGAAGTTCCAGACTATGTAATTGTCTGGGAATTTGAGAGCAAGCCTGAAATTAGCACTCTTACAGCAGTTTTTTTCTTAATCTTTCCCAATACCACCGTCCAAAAGGGACAAGAACTGCTTGCCATGAGAACCCCAAGGGAAAACAGCCTTTTTTGGTAATTGGGATTTTTGCAATCTATTTCAAATATAAGGCATGGCTTATTTAAAATTGTGAAAACAAATGCATCCAGTGCTGTCAAATATGCATCATTTCTAAATACTTTTTAAAAACTTAAGTTATTAAAAGAATCAGAAGTCTAAATGAAGCCACAATTCAACTAATGCAAAAGAGAGATTTATAAATACCCATTAACGGCAAGAGTCTATCATGCCTTAACAATTATTTTCTACAAGTAGTCATTATCCCTTATGTACCACAATTTATTTTATGGAAATGTGGCAATAACTGGAAATTCAAGAGGCTAAGGAGTTCATTACATTTATTCTGGGTCAAAACTTCATTTTTAAGTGTACTCAACCAGTTATCAGCAATAAAGCAAATGGAATGCTACCACAAATTTAACATATATATTTTACTTAGAAATGGACTGCAATTTTTAGAAGGGAATTTTTCTTGTTTACTTTCATTCTGCTATTTTGTTTCTGGGGCCTGTTGGTTTTTCTGTATTACCCTCAAGGATGCTTTTTCCCTACTCTCAAGTAAAGTACTACAATCCATTTTGAGGTTTTAAAATGAATTCTATATTTGAAACATTGTTTAGAAGCCCATGGACATACCTTTTCTAAAGTCAGAATATTTATTTCTGACTGCAGACGGATTTCTGGTTTGCTGCTTTGCTGCTCTTTATATTGTTGAAACTCTTTTTCCAGAGCTTTATGCTTGCTTTCTGCCTCATAGAGCTGTTTTAAAAGACAAAGTAATTGAATAGGTTTACATATGACAACAAAACAGCATGAAGCTAGGAGAATCATTTTGGCAATTAAACAGACAATACAATGGACCAAGTATGTATAATTATTTCTATCAACTAAGTGCAAGAGTCAGGGATTTTGCAATTTTAGCAGAAAAACGTACCCCAAAATTTAGCAAAGGAACATTGACCTTCTGTAGGAAAGACCTAAACACCAAAAATAATTCTTTGCTTAGAGTCTTCAGAAACAAAGCTAGAGAAGTATGCAATCAGAAACATTCTGTTACAGAGAAGACAGGACAAGTAGTGAAGCAGTTTAAAATGAATCAGTTGTGTACTACTGGATGGGGGCAGAGTAACTATCCTCCACATTTATGCTAGAAAGAGAGATACATGAACTGATTTCAAGTATATTTTTAACAGCCAACGTAATTAAGTAGATCAAATAATCACATAAGGCCGGAGAGGCCAAAATTCTAATCTCTCTTTGGTTCAGTTATCATCCTCTATTTACATTTCCACAGGAAAAAAACAACTTAACTATGACATTTCTAATCACTGGATGGCATATTACCAACACCAGAGTTTGTGTAGCAAATTTCTTGGAAACTTCATTAAGGCTGTGAAAAATTACATATGAAGAGTTGTTACTAAAAGGTAATCAAGGTGGGCCTATTGATTCAATGGGCCTACTCTAGCATGACTTACTACACTGCGCAATAGGATTTCAGCCAATGTGAAGAACTTTCACGGGAAATCCATAAGATCTCTGCTGTCATTTTAGAAATGCATCTCTTTTTGTTCCACTGGACCAGTTAAAATCATCTGTCATTGGCTTCTATGTTATTTATCATGCAACATAGTCTATCACAGAACACTGTAAGTATATTTTGGTTATTACCACTGACTGCTACCCACAGATAGCTCACTAGTATGATCGTAACAAACTTCAATTGATTTGCCGCCACTAATCTAATTTTTGGAGGTCACTAATTTATAGGGTTTCCATAAATCACAGAAGCAACTTGACAGAATGTAACAACAAATTTTTTTTTTGAAAAAAGTGATGTCCATTTCTAGCACTACGAATTTAACTGACCCAGAAAAGATAAATTTCACTCACTTGTTGATGAAGGCGGACCTTGTCCTCTTCCAACTGTCTGATCCTTGACCTCTCCAACTCAACCTGATGTGCACACTCTTCTTTGATGCGCCGCATTGCATCTTCAAGCTCCTGTCGATTTCGCTCATGCTCTGTTTGCAACTCTTTCTTTAATCTCTGGAGCTTAAAAACAGCAGTTTCAAAACAAGTCAACCAGATGTAAGCTTATATTGTTTCATAAAGCTTGCACACTTCATTGTGACTACTCTCAGATGTACCTGCTACTGACAGCATACATTTCCTTGATACCTTTTTAAAAATTATAGAAATACTTTATATAGTTATACTATATTTATTAATTATATCCAGAATATTCTTGGAGTTAAAAAATATAATCCTTCAGTTTACAGGAGCACTTTCTCTGTCAGTTTTTATACCAGAGGGTCTGGTACAGAAATAGTCAATGGACAGTGGATTTAGACCTTGCCCATTTTTAAACACTTTCAAATAAAAAATAAAGATTTCTCTTCCATTTCCTTCCATTTATTCCAGTTTGCCAATGAACAAACAAGAAGTCTCAGAACTATACACCAATTATATAAAATATTTTACATCAGTCAAAAGTTACAATCCAGGCATAAACCTAAGTTGAAATGATTCCAGCTAAAAGATTTGGTTTTCTGGAATGCACAACCCATTATGCAGCACACATTTACCTCAGTTTCAGCACTGACAAGCTGTTTTTCACGCTTCTCTAAGTCTGTCAAAGTTTTCTGAAGCTTTTCTTCCAAAACTGAGTATTCCGCAACCTTGAATATAAACAGTTTAAGTTTGTAAGTAAAAATATCAAAATATTCCTAGATATACAATATAACCAAATATTTGCAACTTAGCTCAATATGTTATTGTAACAGAAATCACTTTTTAAATCAGCTTGAAATCATATGACAGAACCCCCCAAAATTTCACATTAGAGATTTTATGTCCCACACTTTACTCTCCTAATTTACTTCGACAGGCCTTTCTAATCTTATATAAACTTCTGAGAATAGATTCTATTAAATTTACAGATCACAGGAATGTACAGAGGAGTACAGTAAGACTTCCAATATCCATTATCTCCCTCCCCCCCTTTAAATGGCAGGAAAAATAATGCAGATTTATTATAATAACCATTGATTCTAGAGAATCTAAGGTAGGTTATCTACAGTGTTTTTATGTTGGTTACGAACAGCAGCATATTTCCAGGTTTGCTCCTAGTAAATATAAAAAATATATCTCATCTTTGACAAAGCTAGTAATGATTTATTAAGATACTCCTATGAGACATATGTCTTACTTTTTTCTTCACCAATGCTTCCCTCTCACGATCCCTTTTTCTCCACTCCTCTGCAAGAGCTTGCATATGAGCCAGCTCCTTCTTCTTCAGCTACAAAAAGCAAATATTTAAAAGTCCAATTTTAAACCGTGGAAATGTGTAAAATAATTGAATCAGCATGAGTATGGACTTCTGTGGAATTCTCAGATATAGAAAAGAGATCTCAGATCAAGTACTGATTTGACAGACACACAGAAGTCTCATTGTCAACAGTGCAGAAGACAGAATTAGGCAAGGCAAAAGCTATTGCAAGTCTCTTAATGAAAGCTAACTAGAAGGTTCAGAGAAACTTGGTCAGGACACAGCTTGTACATGACTTATGCTGCACCTTGTATTTCTCTTGAAACCTACCTACACCTTTTTCATAAAAACTGATATACATACTGTATTTCTCCATGTATAAGACAATACTTTTCTCTAAAATATTTAAATTAAAAATGTAGGGTTGTCTCATATACTGAAGTAAGGAGGGGGGAACGATCAAAGCGCTTTGATTCCTGCTTTCTTTCACTTTTTGCGAAGAAAACGGAGGGGGGAAGCACTTTCCTCGCAAGAAAGTGGAGGGGGAAAGCAGGAATCATCAAAGCAATTCGTACTTTCTGCCTCCACTTTCTTCTGAAGAAAGAATTTCTGGGTTAGAAAAGTGGGGGGCATCTTATACATGAGGGCATATTATACACAGAAAAATACGTTATGTTTGATTCTGGGAAAGCTTAATGAGAAAGTAATTGAAGGTAATTAGGAATGAATGGATACTGACATCCATATTTGTTGTAAAGCAAAAGCAAAAGCAAAGCAAAGTGTGCTGCTTCAAGCACTCTCTGGGCGGTTTACATGTTAATTATGCAAGCTACACATTGTATAAGACAATATGGACATTTACAACCTTTACATCCTCCACTCTGAGTGAGTTTCCTCTTGCAGTACACAAAGCACTCCTGAACTATAATCAACTCATGAGGATAATTTAAACTGAGGAATCTAAAGCCTTGGTAGGAGATATGCTCTCATTCTAAAGTGTCCTCAGCTCAAGGTTGATCAGCTTCCTGGCCATGTATAGTTTGATTGTTCCTCATGTTATTCAACATGTAAGTAAAATCACTGGAAATATTCTAGCGATTTAGAATACATTGTCACTAATCTGCCAATGACCAGCTCAATTTTTCTTTTAATCAGACACCACAACCTCGTGCATCTTCACATTACCAAAGAAGCAATTCATGTTCTGAATGAGTGTCAGGAATCAGGTCTAGGAAACACAGAGCTATCAAATTTTGATCTAGACAAGACAGAGGCATTCCAACTCAAGAGACAGACTCTGGTATCAAAATTAAATCTGTTTCAGATAGGGCAACCGTCCCCTTGAAGAATTAAGTCTGCTGTACTGGCAAATTCCTAGACTCTATGAGGTTCCCTATCTGGTAGGCTAGTTCAGCATCCTCTTACTAAATTTTACTTACTATTTTATTTAATGTCATATGTTTCGTATTTGCCTGCTTTGGTTATGGCTAGACAGTTACCCCGCATGACAGGTTTTTCGCTAGACATTGACTTTTTACGATCGCTATAGCAATTCGCAAAACAGTGATTCCTCTGGGGGAATTTTGCTGGACAATGTTTAGTCCCTGCTTCACAAACCGATTTTCGCTAGACGACGATTTTGACAGCTCCCTCCGTGCTCGCCAAACAGGTGTTTTTGGGACCTACGCTTCGCAAGACAGCGGTTTAAACAGCTGATTGGCGGTTCGCAAAGCGGCTTTCCTAAGGCTGATCTTCGCTAGACAACGACGATTGTTCCTCATTGGAACGCATTAAACAGGTTTCAATGCATTCCAATGGGAAAATGCTTTTCGCTAGACAATGATTTCGCTAAACAGTGATTTCAGTGGAATGGATTATCGTCTAGTGAGACACCACTGTACTGTAATTTTATTGTATTCATGACTAATTTTAGCTGTCATTAGCTAACCTGAGTGATGTTTGAGTACAAAGATTATTTTGAACAATTATGTTTTCTTTTGAGAAAGCCCACAATTTGATTAAGAGTTAAACGTATGAATGAACCTGATTTTCAAAAAGATCCTCTTGTACTTCTTTCCACATTTCCAACTCAAGTGCTGCTTTGTATTCGAGAGTTTCTCGTGGCTCTGGTGGGACTTCAGCAACATTATGCAGCTGAGGTGGAGGAACCACTGCTGGTTCATTAACACCTAAAGACTAAGAATTGAAATGCTTTCAGATAAATTTCAATGGAACTGTTTACCTTTAAGAACATGAATGGATGTGTTTTAACTTACATGGGAAGAATCAGACACCACAACCTCATGCATCTTCACAACCCCATAATCTTCTAGAGTCACAGTATATGAAAGATCTGCAATCTTGTTGCTTGGCCTATAAGGAATACACAAAATAACAGCCTTTTCCTTTTGTAATGAAACGAGACAGTATGTGTAATGGCAGTATTGTTACAAGTTCAAAATCAAGTAGGATGTCCCTTCTGCTCTTATGGGTTATGCTTACTGTATAGCAAGATACAAAGAGCTAGGAAAATAAATGTTTTGTTACATGTTTAAATGCATGGAAACACAAACAGCATGTTCCCCCCCCCCACCGTGGTGAGAACATGCAGACAGTGTAGAGCAACCCTGTCCTACTGATATTCCAAAAGCTTAGCTGGCCCCATCAAATAGCCTGGGTTCTCTCTGCTATCTGCAAGACTTCCATGGCAGAAATGGAGACCTTACATTTTTAATCTCTTTTTCTCTGTCTAGCCTGAGAAGAGTGCAGAGAGGCTGGCAGATTTAGCAGACCAACAGATCCAGGTGATTCGTAAATTGCATAACCCACATACTAGAAAGTGTAGACGTCAGTTTCTAACACCATGGGCCACACTGCTAAAGAGACTGGTGGCAGCCATTGCTGTTCTTAACTTATGAGGCTAGGCATCTGTCCTGCCCAAATTCCATCCCCTTGCTCTTTCCAATGGCTTGCATAGCAATGCTGGCCACCAAGTAGTGTGCAAAATGCTTTTCCTTCGGGCGGATGCCTTGAGCCTCCCTCCCTTTAGGAGCTGGCATTCTTTACTTTTGAAATTCCCTTCCAGGCACATCAGGTATCACTTCAAAGCCAGTAGCAGTTTTGCCTTGAAAATTTGCTTCTACTGGCTACAGTCAGAATAAAATCATTAAATAGCCCATGTAGGAAATATTGTTGTGTTTATGAAGGAATTGTTTAGGAAGACAAAAGAGGACAGGTTCAACAATGAAAATAAATGAATGACTCAAAGTGAATTAAATGTCTGTTCACATCCATACACAACCAGTTAAATACATATGTAAATATGACACTTCCAGATCAATGGCTTTTTAAGAAATAAAAGTACCTGGTACTTTCAAGATTATTAGACTATTATTCAAGAGTCAGGAAGAATCAAAACGTAGAACACATATTAAGCGAGTGCATCTTTTATAGTTTATATTTTCCAACTTTCCTTTCTTGAGTTTTTCATAAAATCTAGTGGAAATAGTTTACCATGCAAAAACATTCAAACTACTGTATAAAATAAAGTAACATTTAATCAATCTTGTATTATACAGTTACAGACCAAGCTGTCTAGGGGGGCGGGGTAGAAATCTAATGAATGAATAAATAAATAATTAAATAAATAAATAAAATAAGTATCCACTTACAGAAGGTACATATAAAAACCCAAACTTTGAAAGATATAACACAACCAAATGTAGGCATTTTGAGTCAGTGAGAGAAGTTTGTTGTGAACAGCTGAAGCCAATTATGTTTAGAGGAGTGCCATCTAGTGGTTACTAGGTTTGGGTACACTTGTCATGCATATTTTGTTATGGAAGCAAAGTATCTGCAGCACATACTGAAATATTACATGGAAGATCATGCAAACATGCATTCTGAAACTGAGACATATTTCAATGGTATTAGAAAGCTATATAAATAAAAAATTCCATGGTATAACTGAATCTTCAGCAATTAGCAAACAATGCTTGGAAAACAGAGCAAGATACACATACAAGTTGCAAATTCATGTATGGGTATTCTTCTAAGATGTTTACACAACAAAAGGATAGTGATGAGGGATCCCCCATTTGACATTTGATTTTCCCACCATCCTCTTCTTCATATTCAAAAAAATGCACTATGAAGCAAATTCTTAGAGTTAAAAGATAGAGTCTTCAACCTAAGTGAAAAAATATTTATCAAATTTTAACTAATGGGAAAAGATGTTGGAGGTAGTCTGTAGGATGTTAAGCAAAACTAGTTTTACGTGGGAAAAACCACTTTTAAAAAAATCATACCCTTGTGCTGCTGTAACGGGGATGGTTTCGCTGAAGGTCTGACGCCAGCACTGTTCCCCATGAGCACCTAGAAAACGGGTTTTGTCCATGGTCAAAACATGAGAAAGCTGGAGTCTTGCAATTCCTAGAAGCACGTCTTTGGTTGTTTTGTCTTTGTGCCACAGTTCCACCAGCAATGGTAACCTTGAATACAAAGAGAAAATAGGCATCAGGCAGGAATTTCCCAGTGACAAATCATTTCTCACGGTCTCAGATTATTTTTACACACAAGGAGGGTTTTTCCTACGAAGGGCCCTTAACCAACAGGTATAGCCAATGAGAAGCTGCAGACAGTGTGGGCACAGCCTGGGCCACATGTGAACAAAGACTGCAGGTTGGCATGGTGCTGTCTGTGTTTCTGCTTTTCTGTGTGCTATCCTGTGTAAGACTAAAATAAGGATGGCAGATTCATCCATTACATAATAAAAAGATACCAAATACAATAAATAAGATTTTGTACATAAAATGGGGTGTGTGTGATGTACTGTAAACAAACTTTTGTGCACAAAAAGGGGGCAATGTATTTCTACAGCATCTTAAAGCTTTTAGTACTAATGAGAATTTAAAACAGAACTCATTAGGAGATAGTTCGGCTTCCCACTGTGCCTCATTGACAGAGGTTGGACTTGATCATCCATAAAGTTCCTTTTAGCTCTGCAGTTCAGAGGTGATGAGGATTACATATCACAAGCCTACCAACATGAAAACTGAGCTAAAGAACCATTCATATGAATGTGGATGGGTATATAATCTGAGGTACTATCTCCTATTTTGAATAAATGCAAGCCTTCACTAATACAAACATTCATTTTAAATATTATCTTAAGTAAATATGCTACCTGAAAAAGGTATCCTGAAGCTGATGGGGCATAGTTGCAAAATCAAATGCACAGTAGGACTGAGGAAGGAACACTTCCATGTGTTTTCTTACTTCCACAGGAGGATTTGTCATGATGGGCGCAGCGCTGCCAAAAAATGGATATGAGTACCTATTAAGGAAGAAAAAAACAAATAAACCAATGGAATGTTAAGCCATGTGTGACTCTGGGAGATTAAAATAAATGTACTTCAATCTAATTATAATAGCAATTGCCTAATGAGACATGTAAAGAGGAAAAAATTTTGTAAAACTTCCATAAACTGAAATGTCCGGTATAAAATCAGTCATGGAGGCAGAAGACTTCCAATCCAAACATAATGAAATTTCCTAAAAGGTTAGATAATACAATAAATGTCTATCATAAACATGTAATGATTGTAAAGGGGCTAGACTCAATGACTCATAGGGTCTCTTCCAGCTCTGCAGTTCCAAGTTGGTGAAGATGATTAATACAGGGTATGTAATTGGCTTTTTAATGTTTTTGGGTGAGGTCTAGAGTAAATTGAGTGCAATTCCAACATGGCTTTCTTCTCTTCTTCCTACTGCAGCTAGCGGTGCAGATCACCACCATGATAGATATTTTTTGTTGCATATTGCTACCAGGTTGTTTTTAAATTATATTCCTCTTGGAGCAGGTACTCCCTCTACTGTTTCTTATTCAGAATTCCCATTTCTATCATTACTTATGAACTTGTGACCATATCTGTAAACCTTTGGAATGTATGGAACTATTAAAAACATAGATGAAACTTCAGGAACTGCAGTATATTCTATCTGACATTTCCCACCTCCTTAAAACAAATACTGGTTAAAGTGAAGTTGCTACTTAAAAAGTGTAATTAGGCTTGAAATGTACAATATTATTCATTTAGGTGTCATAGTCTTCAAGACAGTACACATAAGCTATGGTTGTTTTGTATTGTATATATGTTTTATGTACTATATAGGTTTGGATTTGCTTGCCTGGTAAGTGACAGGGTTGATTGACAGCTGTATGTTGCATGTGTGCCAGGAGTAACTGTTACGACAGGTGAGAAGTGTAAAACAATGTTTATTAATGAAATTGTGAGCTGATTGTCCTGTATATAAGGGAATGCATCTGGGTGAGTGAGTGGGTTAGTTACTTGAGAGTAGGGAAGACTAAGCTGTAAAGGAGAGAGGGAGTATGAATGAGTGTGTGGTCTGTTTTAAGGCTGTGAATAAAAGAGTGGTCTTGTTACTACTCATGTTAAAGCAAGCATCTATCTATAAGGAAAAGAAAGTGTTGAAATTATAGAAGAAAAGTAAAAGCTTATGTTTGTCTGTTGAGGAATCACACAAGTTCTTATTATACTATTCTAACTATTCACTGAAGGGTTTTTTATGGGTGGATTTTTATTTAATAAAATATTTTGGTTTATAAATCCTGCATTTTTATAGATAGTAGTCATAAGGTATCATACCCACATAAGCTGCAAGTCAGTGCTATGAACTAAGATTTATGCAGTATCACCAATGTAAACAAAGCTATGTTTTATAAAAAATATTCTTGCTTTAAAAGAGCAGTGTGAAGTATGACCTTAGACCAGCAAAGGCATAGCAGCAGTGCAAAAGAGAACATAGGCTATGTGTCTTGGTTAAGGATAATTGAAGAGAAGGAGTTCTTGTTCACAAGTTTACTTAACAACCCCCAACTTATTGTAGGGCTTTTGAAATAGCTGGTGTTCTGAATGGTGGCATATACAAAAAGTGGAAGTACGTGCGTACTGCAGAAACATTCCATTTTCCTGTCCCCTTTGAAAATAAGGAAGTTGAAGTGGGATAATATTTGGAAGAGAAACGTATAATTGTTCCCAGAATTCTGATATCAAATTTCAGTCAGTGGAGCTATCCCATGGCATCCATAATAATAATAATAATAAAATAAAGTCACATGGGTCAGGGGGTTAGGTAAGCCAAAACCATCCATTTTATTTTCTTTTAATTTAAAAAATTCAGGAAACCATAACATCTACACAATTTCACATTTCAAAAACATTACATCTAAAAAATGCCCAACTAGAATATGATAATAGAAAACTGGAGCTGTGAGTTGATTCTTTGTGTTTCCAGGGGAAATATTAGCGCAGGTCCTCATGAGCAGAGTATCCTTCAAAGCAGATACTGCAATCAGTAGCTTACATAAATGGTAAGAATATCTACCAACTTATGATCCAGGTGAGTTTCTTCTGGAGGACTCAATGAGATGGAAACTTGTCCCGCTCTTTGGTGTGCTAAGGGTATGGACTGGTTCGTTCTTTATTCCGGCAATCAGGCTATAGTGAACCAATCAGTCCCCTGAGTGCCCCTACTTGTCTCTTTCTGAGCCCATCAGGCAGTTCTACTTTTTTGGTTCAGATAGGTTCACTCTAGTTTGGTCCATTTCCAGAGTGTGCATCACTCGAAGGGACCAAGAAATAAGCCTTAAATTGTCAAGGCACTTTCCCTGTCAATTTTTGGTTTTGTTAAGTGTCTTAATAAGCAATCCACTTCAGGGCCTTACATGGCAAAACCAAAGCCACTTATTCTTTCCCACTGACTCCCTTTTCTCTTCAGAATTATGACACAAAAACATGCTGTACCTTAACATGCAATTGACAGAAAACCCAGCGTCCAGATTAAGGATACTTCTTAAGTCTAACGAGAAGCAGAAATGATGGGCTGCTGCTGGAACAGCAATTTTTTGCCCTGTATTAGATTCAGAGGTGGTGACACGCTGATTCTGGGAAACAGGTACCCGGACATTCAAGGCTGCAAATATAAAGAAAGCCCAACTTTACTTCCAAAACCTAGCCTTAGCATCTGTTCTACTATCACATATAACATATTTTTCCAGACTTCATAGCTCCTGTCTTACTGTTTTAACAACTGCCCCTTTGAAAATAAGGAAGTTGAAGTGGGATAATATTTGGAAGAGAAACGTATAATTGTTCCCAGAATTCTGATATCAAATTTCAGTCAGTGGAGCTATCCCATGGCATCCATAATAATAATAATAATAAAATAAAGTCACATGGGTCAGGGGGTTAGGTAAGCCAAAACCATCCATTTTATTTTCTTTTAATTTAAAAAATTCAGGAAACCATAACATCTACACAATTTCACATTTCAAAAACATTACATCTAAAAAATGCCCAACTAGAATATGATAATAGAAAACTGGAGCTGTGAGTTGATTCTTTGTGTTTCCAGGGGAAATATTAGCGCAGGTCCTCATGAGCAGAGTATCCTTCAAAGCAGATACTGCAATCAGTAGCTTACATAAATGGTAAGAATATCTACCAACTTATGATCCAGGTGAGTTTCTTCTGGAGGACTCAATGAGATGGAAACTTGTCCCGCTCTTTGGTGTGCTAAGGGTATGGACTGGTTCGTTCTTTATTCCGGCAATCAGGCTATAGTGAACCAATCAGTCCCCTGAGTGCCCCTACTTGTCTCTTTCTGAGCCCATCAGGCAGTTCTACTTTTTTGGTTCAGATAGGTTCACTCTAGTTTGGTCCATTTCCAGAGTGTGCATCACTCGAAGGGACCAAGAAATAAGCCTTAAATTGTCAAGGCACTTTCCCTGTCAATTTTTGGTTTTGTTAAGTGTCTTAATAAGCAATCCACTTCAGGGCCTTACATGGCAAAACCAAAGCCACTTATTCTTTCCCACTGACTCCCTTTTCTCTTCAGAATTATGACACAAAAACATGCTGTACCTTAACATGCAATTGACAGAAAACCCAGCGTCCAGATTAAGGATACTTCTTAAGTCTAACGAGAAGCAGAAATGATGGGCTGCTGCTGGAACAGCAATTTTTTGCCCTGTATTAGATTCAGAGGTGGTGACACGCTGATTCTGGGAAACAGGTACCCGGACATTCAAGGCTGCAAATATAAAGAAAGCCCAACTTTACTTCCAAAACCTAGCCTTAGCATCTGTTCTACTATCACATATAACATATTTTTCCAGACTTCATAGCTCCTGTCTTACTGTTTTAACAACTGTGAACATGAGTCAACGCTTTTGGTATTATTCTTTTCATGATTTATTTTCAACCTTTAAAAATTTAATTCAGAACTAGCTACATACCAACCTAACACCAAACATTCTTGACAGTAAGATACATGATGGAAACTAATCTACATCACAAGCTACTACACTCAAAACATGACATTTCACTCTAAGTAGCATTCATATGTTGGCCATATTTTCTATGTTCTTATTAACAAAGAACAAAATTGTCTTTCAACATTAGCAGCTTACTTTCAGATAGCACTCTGGCCAGCTCTTCAGCTAAAGGACCAAATTTGACAATGCATTCTCATATATTTATAAAGCTGTCCAGAACTTGCTGGTAGGTAGACCACAAAGCAGAACTTTTAGGGTATTCTAGGTAGATCACTGTGTACTATCACCTGTCTCTATGTAGATTCTGTGTTATTATGCAGGAATATCTAAGACAAGAATAACTTGGTGGTATTTATGTTTACAGTTATCACAGTTAGCATCTTACTCAGCACTTACCCTTTTTCTGTGGCTTTGGGTTCTTGTCATACTGGAGGCTTTCCACTTCACTTTCTGTTGCATCCTCTTTTACAGGAGGTGAATTCTGAGACTGGGGTGGTGCATTATTGGAATTGTGTTCAGGACTTTTTTCTTGGTCACATACAGGAGACAAAGCTCTTTTCATATTTTCAGACTCAGTCTTCGAACCTAACTGGGTTATAGACTGAACAAAATACAGTGTCTAAGATGCAAACTTAATTTTCAAGTCCACATTGCAGCAATAATTTGAGCACTATTTTAATACTTTGTATCCCATTTCTTTTTTACTTTCTACATTTAAAAAGAGTAAGTAAACAAAACATGAATTCATGAGTCATACCTGTGAAACTTTGCTATCTTTTTGTAGTGATACCGATACACCAACAGTGGGGGCCATATCTGGAACTGGTGGCAGTTTTTGCCGGGCTCTGTTAGGTGGGGCAAGAATGAATGCTCCTTCAATAACAGCTGGCTGTTGACTGATTTCTACATTTCCTTTTTTCAACAATCCAGTTAGAAGTATTTCAGTGCTTCCAAGAGACTGGTCACCACAGCAAAGATGGATCTATTTTAAAAATCATGAAAATAACTGGGCTACAGAATGCTGAGTATACAGCCTTTCGAACACTTTCAAAATGAAACATCCAGTTCTTTAGAAAGACTCTGTTGATAACGGGTACATTTGTAAAGTTATCAAACCTCTTTAGAAGGTATCCTAATCTTCCTCAGGCTGCATTTTCTTCACACCTCAACTCCCCAAACCAAGTTTTTTTTTCAACAGGTTCCTACTGGCTGTTACAGAAAATGCATTACAAACAGCAGTTCATAATCCAAAAGGGAAGGGAGAGACCTATAAACCCATGCTGCCGCTATACTAGGAAGTCTGCAGTTTGAACTAGACTCATGGTTACTACAAAATCTGCAAGCTTCATCATACACTGCAGTTGTTGGGGCATGAACAGACAAAGAGGTGCCAGTTGCCTCACACATTTCTCTCTCTGTATGTCTTCAACAAACATGTCACATAATATTGTGATGGTTATTATTATGCGCTATAAACTCACTTTCAATGTACGTTGATCCTAATAGGATTGTTTAGCTATATGAGACATTCATGATTTGGTTTACCATTGTCTTGGTGAGTGTCCATAGCTGAGTAGAGATTTGAACACTGATCTCCTCAATACTTGTTTCACAGTGTATCCGCTACACCACACTGACCTTGGTAATGCTTAAGGATGGGATTTTCAGATTTCTTGGAGTACAAATCCCATAGTTTTCCACTGTGGGAGCTATACTTGACAGACATCTTACAAGCACCTAAACGGGGCTCTCCTGGGAGAAAGGCCTCAGGTGGAAGATTTTGAGGGATGTGATTTTAGTCTCTTTCTACTGAGTAGCAGTGGAGGAGGAAGCAGTATCACTCCACTCCCTCCTGTGTTTGCAGGATAAAAAGTTCCTTCCCTTCCCTTCCCTAAGCATTGAGGAGGGAAGTGAAGATAGCTTCCCACTGTGAGTGCTTCTGCCTCCACCTAGGGTGGCACTGTTAGCTGAGCTGGTTATTCCAACAAGGCTTTTGGAGAAAACAAGTGTTCTCACCAGCTGAAGGAGAACTGGTGCCTCTAGCAAAGAAGCAACTGGGTTTATTGAATCCTGGCAGCAATCTCAGTGCGTATATCTGAACAGAAAATGCTGACAACAAAGAGCAGACCACCACTGCTTTTGTCTCTTCTGGATGGACATGATGCAGCACATGAGCTATGTGTGACCTCTTTAAGCCACCATATATAACATTTTAAAAGATGCCACCACAAAATTGGCAGTTCAATTTCTGCAACTTGGAAGCAGCTGTACATGGTGTTCCTAATATATACTGTAGCAAATAAATAACTTCCTGTCGTTTACTGAAGTTTCTTACATCTAAAGTACCTTCACTAATTACTTTGTTTATGAATATTCTCCTTGCACTTCTGTGCTTCACTGCTCTTCCTGTTTCAACTGGCAATTATTTGGTTGCTTCTTCCCTCCCAGACTTGCTAGATAGTGGACTGTCTGGATAACAGAGAGTTGATGCTGATGTGTTTCCTCTCTGTGGCTTACTGGAGTTGTGAGAATTCTTAAAATATATTCGCGAAGGCTTTCACGGCCAGGATCTAATGGTTGTGGGTATTTCAGGCTCTTTGGCCGTGTTCTGAAGGTTGTTCTTCCTAACGTTTCGCCAGGCTCTGTGGCCGGCATCTTCAGAGGACAGCACTCTGTGCTCTGGTCCTCTGAAGATGCCGGCCACAGAGACTGGCGAAACGTTAGGAAGAACAACCTTCAGAACATGGCCAAAGAGCCCGAAAAACCCACAACAACCATTCTTAAAATACATTTTTAAAAGGTTGGGGATGGCGAGATTCTTCCAAAGCAATTGCTAACATTAGCTATGAATTCTACTACTACTCTACTGATTAAAAAGTATTTAATATTTAAAAATATATAAGAGTTCCAGGCAATTCCATAAGAAAAAAATGTGGGGTGGAGATACTCTTCGAAACTAACTACTGAAATTACTAGTATTATAACTACTAGTAGTATAATTACTAGTATTATAATTTTATTGAAAGCAAATATATTATCAAGTTTGTCAAAATTAAAAGTTTGGCAATTTTTTCAATCCTTGTTGAACTGATTTTGTATTTTTGGGGGAATTTCTAAAAGTTTTCAAAAATTAATATGCAAATTAGCTTATTTGACCATGCCCTTTCCCACAAGCTTTATTCCATAAGAAAAAATTGTCAAAATTAAAAGTTTGGCAATTTTTTCAATCCTTGTTGAATTGATTTTGTATTTTGGGGGGAATTTCTAAAAGTTTTCAAAAATTAATATGCAAATTAGCTTATTTGACCATGCCCTTTCCCACAAGCTTTCGAACTTCAGCTCTCAGGTTGCTAGCCAATGTAAAAACTGGCTCTTTGAACCTTAAAGATCACCTGCTCCTGATGCAGACTGATGCTGAGAGAAATACAATACAGTTCTGGACCAGATGGATTATTGTGCTGATCTAGCAAGACACATCTTATGTTTGCTAATTCTTGCCTGTAGAGTAGGAAATACAGACTAGAAATGATAGTACTCTTAAATCACTGCAAGCTCATGACCATTTACTACCAGATGCTTAAGTCAATTTTATCCCTTGGATTCTATCCAAAACACAAAGTATTTCTCATAGTTTTGGTATTCCAAATCTATGTTTTGGACTTAAATGGAAGTCTCGACTTCAGATCAAAAAACAAAACAAAACAAAAGCATAATTAAGAATAGAAAAGAAGTAGCTGCTTACCTGCAACTTTGAATGAGCCAAAAAATAAGCTCTTAGAACTTCAACGCTACTGCGGATTCTAACAGATGCTCTTTCTGGCTCAAAGTTTGGATTCATCAAGTTGGTGAATGGTTCATTTGTAACATCGTTGCCCAGCAGTGAATAGTAGAAGAAAAATTCAGGCTGTCGCTCAGGAAGTTTCATTGTAGTTGGGATTAACTATGATAAATAAAGAGATAAAAAACAATATGCAGCTTCCCTCCCCTCCAAATCCCAATAAAATATGCTCCACATTGTGAAAAGTTTATTCCATTAAATATTCTGCATGCTACATGGGTAACAACAGAAAACGGGAAAGCCAGAGATCAAGCTTAGATCCACATCCTACTTGTTTTTCCAAGCTGCTTTCACAAGGTATAAAAATAAACAAGCTATTTTTGAGATCTATTCAAAATTTTAGATGTTTAGGCAGGTACATAATATATAATATATAACACAAGCAACTGGAAGAACCACAAAGCAATCAGGCACAACCTGCAGTAACAAGACACAATCTTCCATAGCCAACATTCCTTCTAAGCTGTGCGGCTGCCCAGCACCGCACCAGTGCTGCACACCCACAGTCAGTGTTGCTGCCCATTTGGTTCTGGTCATGGTCGAAACCCCACATGCAGGGGCAGAACCCCCACCCACTGCTGGTGGAAAATTAGAGGGAATGTTGTCCACAGCATTTTGTACCAAATTTGTGACGCCACTCAAAGTAGCAGCAATATGTGGGAGAGAAACCACAACTGGCCTTCCTATGTAGAGGATTCTTCCAAACAGTAACCTAGCTTCCAACAATCTGTCTAGACAAGACACAAAATGATGCACCAAAAGTCTAACATGAAGAGAAAGGCTGATCTGAATAGAGAAGTGCTTAGTTCTTCTCACTTCTTCCAACAGACTACAAAAGCAGCAGGTATTAACATTTCACTGCAGTGCACCAAGAAGAAAAGGAAGGAGGAAGGATAGTCCCTGTTACCATAAACTATCCAGTCTAAGCACACGAGAAAGAAATGAGTCATCCATCTATATTCCTCCTCCAGCAATTGAACTAGTGCAATGCAAAAGTTTAAATTGATTAATATACATTAAAAATAGAACAATACAAAACACAGTAGCTAGCCTCTCCCTCCATCCTATCTCGGTGTGAAATGGCTGCCCAAGCAGTTGCTGGGGATATACAGTAACCTCACCCTGTACCCTCCCCAGGGTCTCAGCAATTACATCATGCAGCAGAGTTCTGGGGCTTCACTGGTGGCTCAAGTGTTAGACTCCTCTCCCCATGGGATCTCCTCCTTGTGCTACTATTTTAATTACAATACAAACAAGAGTGAACTTGTATCACCTGTTGTGCTGGCCAACTGACCTTGGGGTTGTCTGGGTCAAAAAAGTTTGGTTTGCAACTTTTCCTTGAAGACAGTGCATATCTCTAATCAAACCATTACATTATTTTTATTTTGGAGGTCTGGTACCAGCAACACTCAGTACTTAGAGCCAAAGCAAACTGCAATGTAAAGTTGAGCCAGTTACCTGTTCTAATTGCGCAGCAAAAGCAACTGTAACAGACAAAACAAAGTAGTCTCTGCAGTGTTCTGATGGTCCAATCTGATGATAGCCCTCCTCTTCATTCAACACTGCTGCAAGATTTTTGGGATCTAAACCAGGGAGTTGACGAGCCACTTAAAAAGAAAGTAAATGCCTTTGGTCATCTTCCAAACCAAACCACCAAATGGTGATATTATATATTCCATCATGAGGAAATTTCTGAAAATATTTTTCAGGTGAAATTTACATGGAGAAGAGCATTGCTTTAAAAAGGCTACTTTTAAAAATGGAGAATATTGGCTACTCGTGCTAGGTTTGTACAGGGGCAGATAAGCTCAGTAATAATCTAACCATTTCCATCGATAAGACTTTAGAGATGGTGATTCATCTTGATTCATGATTCATCAAGGCTGACAAATCACAAATTACATTTATTCTGAAGAATTGACAAATCGATCTGTCAATTCATTTTTTAGTTTAAACCCCTATAAAACGGCTCCCCAAGCACCTAGAGACCAAATTCCTACAGGGAAGCTTCCACTGACTCTCCTCTACCAGTTCTGCAAGTTTGGCGAAATTTGGGTTTCAGATGTTGGAATTATATACCCACAAGAAGGCCCACCACCAGGAAAGTTTCCCCCAGGCACCTAGAGAAACTGAAATCACGGAGAACCTTCTACGGGCTCTCCTCTACAATCCCTCAAAGTTTGGTGAAGGTTGTGTTTTAGACATCCAAGGTATACACCCACAAAATGAATCCCCCCCAGGAAAGTTCCCCTTAGCAGCTGGCATGAAGAAATCCAATCTTCACCAAACTTGGAACGACTGTAGAAGTGAGTCAGAGGAAGCTTCCCTGCAGTTTTGGTGTCTCTAGATGTCTGGTGGCCATTTTAGAACCAAACAACTTGATGAAGAAAAAATTGCTAAAAATTCATTGATTTGTATTCGTCAGATGCACTGATTAGTACAAATACAAACTGATGAATTAACAATTTTTAAAACAAATTTGGTGATTTTTTAAAAAAATTTAAGCCCATCTCTAGTGGACATACAAAACAACTTTATTAACTTGCCACAAGTCTACTTCCAAATACTTTATTTCTCTGGCCTTATGCTACTGAAATGTTTAAGAAATTTCGGCCTCTTAATAAAAATTCGTTTTCTTAATGGGTCTCTTTACTGAATTAGAGAAATAGCTAGCCATGGATTCATACATTGTCAAGATTATTCTTAATATTGAACAGTTCAATGAATCAGAAGTTCTTCTATATCTGTTTCTTCTATAAGTCAAGAAAAGGAATTGCAATAAAATAACAGCATGCTCTCAATTTTTCTGAAGATTAACCAGAACATGGAAGTAATGCATTATATGCAGAGCTTGGAAGAAACATGTGAGTCATCATAATTACACTAAGGATCCAATGGTTTACTTCTGTGGGATTCTATTGCTTTCACCAAAATTAGCAAACCTATCTCCCTCCTGTAAACTCCCAACTGCACCCCACATAGCACCATGACGAACTATATAATGCTAGTAGAGGAAAGTCCTGTTTTTGCTGGGGCTGGATATGACAGTACACCATTGGATCTTGGTGGTCACTTGTTATTTTTTATAGTAAAGTTGACATAATGATTTTTCTTTTTAATGTCAGTGTGTTATGACTAGACATTGGGGTATTCACATACGAATATAAATATCCCTGCACAGGTGGTGGTAACGAGGGTCCAGCCCCATGCAGCCGGACGGTCCAGTCACCGATCTGCCGCGGACAGCGTGATTCTACGAATGGCTCTGCAGCGCGTGATCCGCTCACCACTCCTGGCAGGAGGTGGGAGGACAAATGTCTGGTGGCCATTTTAGAACCAAACAACTTGATGAAGAAAAAATTGCTAAAAATTCATTGATTTGTATTCGTCAGATGCACTGATTAGTACAAATACAAACTGATGAATTAACAATTTTTAAAACAAATTTGGTGATTTTTTAAAAAAATTTAAGCCCATCTCTAGTGGACATACAAAACAACTTTATTAACTTGCCACAAGTCTACTTCCAAATACTTTATTTCTCTGGCCTTATGCTACTGAAATGTTTAAGAAATTTCGGCCTCTTAATAAAAATTCGTTTTCTTAATGGGTCTCTTTACTGAATTAGAGAAATAGCTAGCCATGGATTCATACATTGTCAAGATTATTCTTAATATTGAACAGTTCAATGAATCAGAAGTTCTTCCATATCTGTTTCTTCTGTAAGTCAAGAAAAGGAATTGCAATAAAATAACAGCATGCTCTCAATTTTTCTGAAGATTAACCAGAACATGGAAGTAATGCATTATATGCAGAGCTTGGAAGAAACATGTGAGTCATCATAATTACACTAAGGATCCAATGGTTTACTTCTGTGGGATTCTATTGCTTTCACCAAAATTAGCAAACCTATCTCCCTCCTGTAAACTCCCAACTGCACCCCACATAGCACCATGACGAACTATATAATGCTAGTAGAGGAAAGTCCTGTTTTTGCTGGGGCTGGATATGACAGTACACCATTGGATCTTGGTGGTCACTTGTTATTTTTTATAGTAAAGTTGACATAATGATTTTTCTTTTTAATGTCAGTGTGTTATGACTAGAGATTGGGGTATTCACATACGAATATAAATATCCTTGCACAGGTGGTGTTAACGAGGGTCCAGCCCCATGCAGCCGGACGGTCCAGTCACCGATCTGCCGCGGACAGCGTGATTCTACGAATGGCTCTGCAGCGCGTGATCCGCTCACCACTCCTGGCAGGAGGTGGGAGGACAAGCCTCGCTGCAAGGTTGAAGAGTGACAAGTGGATCACATTCTGCAGACCCATTTGCAAGTGGACCCTCATTAATGCCACCTGTGTGGGGATATTCATATTCGTATACGAATATCCCCATCTCTAGTTATGACTTGGGGCATCATAAGTACAGTGATGCCTCGCTTAACGATTGTCTCGTTAAACAACGAAACTGCTTGATGATGAAGTTTTTGCGATTGCTTTTGCGATTGCAAAACGATGTTCCTATGGGGAAAATTCGCTTAATGATGATTGGTTCCCTGCTTCGGGAACCGATTTTTCGCTAAACGATGTTTCTGAAACAGCTGATTGACGGTTCTAAATGTGCAAAATGGCTCCCCCGCTGTGTTTTCAGGATGGATTCCTGCTTTACAGGCAGCGAAAATGACCACCCCTATGGAGGATCTTCGCTGGACTGTGAGTTTTCAGCCCATTGGAACACATTGAACCGGTTTCAATGCATTTCAATGGGCTTTTTCATTTCACAGGACAATGTTTTCGTAAGACAGCGATTTTCACGGAACGAATTTACATTGTCTTGCGAGGCACCACTGTAATCTCTACTTGCTGTTTCAAAAATGCTACTTTTGGGAATCATTCTGTAGGACTTAGGAACATTTTTCAACTGTTAAGGCTTAAGAAAATAAATAAAAACAGCACAGTGAGATGTTAAACCCAAAAGGCAGTTATCATTAATGTTAATATATCATGATTTTTCACATACTAACATGATAGTGATTTTCAATCACATTTCCAATCTATAGCTGCAAGTAATGTACATATTTTAGGGAGATGACCACAGCATAAGATTATTTTGTGAAATAATGTAATAATTGGTAGTAATTTTTACTTGTTGCTTTTAAAATTGTTTTGAGAGATTTGGAATCTTTTCCCCTGTTTAAGATTCATTTTTGCATTATGATAACAACAATAATTAAACTAAAATGTAAATTATGAATAATGCATTATTAACACATTATTGTTAAAGTAACAAACAACACATTTCTTGGAAAGGGAAATACAATAATAAATAACATCTAATGAATTACTTCTTATAAATAATGTTCTAAACTGTGAGACTGACAAATATCAGGGGAAATTCAAGTTACACCATCCATGCTAATAGTGTTTTACAGTCCATTTTAATTTTGTCCCCAAGAGAGAACTGAAAAGAATTAAGAAAGAAAATAAAGGTATAAAGAACAGATGAGAAAAGAAAACTCACCTTTTCCAATACTCCATTGAGGTTGTACTTTACTAATCTTGATAAAAGTATTTAAATAAGCTTTGAGATAGAAAATCAAATGAAAACAAAGGTAAAAGGTAAAAACTATATAGAATAAATAGGAGAATTGCATAAATTAATCATTTTTTCTGGGATGTCTTCCAGTAGCAAGAATGTATTCTTATTTTTCAATGAGAACAGCAGGAAAGATTACTAGTTTACATGCAGAGTAGAAAGGAAAATAATAAAAGAAAACTAAGTCATTGGGAAAAAAACAAACCTTGATACACATGAGATTAATATTTCCTATTCCTTGATGTTACTTGGTTGCTTATGGTCCAGAACATTTATTCATGTGATAGGTTAACTCTGACATAAAGTAATGGGTCTAACCCTTGTTATCCACTCCAAAATTGAAGGTGCCATTTGTGCTATGATTATATGTATGTTCTGAACTTTTTCAGTCTCAAGACAGAATATGATACGCGATCAGATACATCAAATTACAGAGTGAAATCCTGTTCAAGCTGGCATAAGGTAAAATTGTACCTACAGAAGTGTGCTAGGCGTTACACCTAACCAGCCAGTACTGCACAATTTGATTGTGCAATCAATTGTACAATTCACGCTGCAACTGTTGCGTGGCACGCCTGTAGTGCTTTGTGGCTATTACTTCCACACTGTTGTGATTTTTGCTACCACTTCCACAGCTGCACATTATGCACTTATAGCTGAGCAAGAGAATTTCAGCTATCACTGTCTCTAAATAAAAACTAACTCTACACTGAAATTAGTAATTTGAAATGAACAAAGGTGATTTCACTTCCTACAGATAACAAATTAATTATAAGCAATAAAAAATTTACTGTCAAACTCTTCAGAACAGGAGTAGGAAGACTACAGATCTAGTTTTGAAGAAATGGAATCCCAAATTAGGTGCAACATAATGGAATAAGAACACATACAATTACTAACAGTGCTTTTGAGCACCTCTCAGTTCCAGAATGCAAGGTGTTTTTCAGTAAACAAATTATTAAGTAGGGGAAAGAAAACAGACTGTAAACTAGTCAGTAACTATATTTAAGGATATTTGTAGAGTTGATGAAATTCCTAGGATTACCACTGATTCCAAGTACACAACAGTGTTTGCTGCAGCTTGCATTGTTGTACTAACCTGTTACATCTCTGGGAGGTGCTTCCTTGGCTTTAAAACCATCCACGGATGCTTTGGTATCAGCTTCTAACATGACACTTAGTTGTAGCTCAGGTTTAAACTTTGTATATCTATTGCTAAGTAAAGGATACCACTTTGGTGGCTGCAGAATTTTTAAAAAAGGAAAGGAGAAAAAATGCACTTAAAATCATAAATATGCAGTAGTAATCTATTATGATATAGTTCAATTGGAAACAAATATAAGGGAACTAAATTTAAAATGAATTTTAAAATAAATTATTCTTCATGGCTGTAGTATTACTACTACACTCCAATGGATATAACATCCAATAAGACAAATTTGAGATCATGTCACACATAGATTAAAACAACAACTTTTGCCAAGCATACTAAGGATTTTGAACATTTAATACAGGATCAGATTTATCCCTACACTAGAGATCCATGAGGGGCAGTATTTTTTCCTCTGCTGATTAGATAATAAGTAGAGATGGGGAATTCGTATTCGTCTCCTGGGGGGAAATGAATACGAAGCCCGTCTCCACAGATGGCTGGTCTGATTAATCCCTCTCCCCCCCCCAACTGGGTGTCTGCTTACAGCTTCCAGTATGGCGTGCACTGGCATAAGTTTTCTCTCTGCACCAATCGCGGAGGTAGCCTGGTTGGGGCTTCCACGCCTCCCTGCACTGCTGACCAATCCAGCAAGGAGGCAGGATAACAAGTCTCTCTGCACAGTTGCTGATTGGCCGGCAATGCAAGGAGGCACGGAAGCCTCATCCAGGCTACTTCTGTAACTGGCAGGGAGAGAACACTGATGGCAGTGTGCGCCACACTGGAAGCTGTAACTGGACACCTGGTTGGGAGGGGGGTTTGATCAGGCCAGCCAGTTGTGACAGCCGGCTTTGCATTTGTCATCCCAGGGACAAATACAATTCACCATCTCTACTTATTATCTGACTGTGTGGAAAGTCTTGTCATACCACCCTCTTGCCGGACTGGCCAGCAGCGCAGAGAGGCAGGGAATCCCCAGCCAGCCTATTTCCACGACTGGCGAGGAGGGAAGAGCAATGGCAGCACAAGCCACACAGGAAGCTGTAAGTGGACGTCCAGTTGGGAGGGGAGAGTTTAATCAAGACGGCCAGCTCTGATGACAGGCTTTGCATTTGTCTCCCTCAGGAGACAAATATGAATTTCCCATCTCTAACATTAAGTGGAGTGTGTGATTTCACTTCATACTAATATGGTGTGGTGATAGACGGCTCAAGGAGTTCATTATCTGGTGAATCCCTTGTTCCAATTACAAATTTCAAGATAAAAGTTAAAAGTGTTTCATGTGATTTCTTCTCTGAAGGCAGTTTGTCTCTTACTGTATAGCTCAAACCTGCAGTAGTGCATCAAAAATCTCTTCATAGGGAAAAAAGCTAGTTATATTCATCCACAAAATGAAATGCATTTACTTATATTGTACATGTTCTACATAGTTACTAAGTTATGACTCCCACTTAACCTACAGAAAGACAAAGGAAAATCTATTAAATCCCTTTAGTGAACAGCAGCCTCTGATCATGCCAGCTGCTTAAATAAAATGCAGATAGACACAAAGACCGAAAGATGCATTTTGATCAACTTGGCATGTCAGAAGAATCTATCTATCCATTCTGGAAAGCCTCATGGGAACTACAGGCCAGAAATATGTAAAAGATCAAAAGTTTTCCATCCTCAAATAGACCAAATTACAAATATTACCTGTTTGCTTTCCTGAACTGCTCTTAAATCTAGTACAATGTAACCTACAGCCTCTTTAGCTACCGACAATGAATCCATAGCAAAGCACTGTAACTTGATAGGTGTACGTTGTAACCTGTGAAAAAATAAAAATGCAGAGCAATAAGAGAGTTTGAAAATGGGCATATATGCTTCAATCCGCCAGATTTCCCCAGAATTCTTTTTAAAAAATAACAACAAGCTTTGGTTAAGTCAAGGATTGATAACATCATTTTAATATTTATTTTAAGTTCTAAAAAATAGGTATACTTTTAAGAATAAAGAAACACTGTTAGTTTACAATCAATGTTCACACCAACAAAATGTTTATTCTTTTCAATAAGCTCCCAGTATTCAATGAATAGTCAGATGTTACAAAATGAATAGGCAAGGTAAGAGTACACTAGCCTTGCCCCTTATGTTTCAATCGCCTTTCTCACGACAAACGTGATTTTGAAAAGAAGGGCTCCCTTGATGCAAAAAGGCTTTTTATGAAAGATAGGCACTTACTGTGATTTGGTGCTCTGACATGGTTTGCCAGATCAGGTCCACAGATATTGCGCAGGCTTCCTGGATTCTGTGCTCTACCTCATCCCATGGGTGCCCAATCAGAAGCGGTGTTACAGGATTCCCAGTCCAGCCTTCTCCTCTGAGTGGCACCCACAGGAAGAGGCGGGGCATAGAATCTGGGGTGCCCAAGCAACACCTGTGGGCCTGATCTGCCGAAGCACCAAGCTATAGTAAGTGTCTATCTCTACTTTCTAGACAAACAAACATACTGGCTGAAATCCTGTTCGTGGAGCTGTGTCATGCTAGGAGGATGACATTATCAGTCATGGTTGTTTGGGGCAGTAAAAAGCTTCCTAGAAGTCAGTAACCGTATTATGAGACAGATAAACTTCCAAGCAGTGATGTGTGGCTAGCATGCTGCCCCTCCTTCTGCATTTATTTCATAATGGCTGAATAGGACAATTATAAAAACAGAACCTGTTTTCTGAAATAAGAAGGAACGGGACTACAAAGATTGCCCTCTTCATTGGCAATCTAAATTTTCCCTCAGAAAATGAAAAATGAATAGTGATGGAAAAATACCTCTTCGGCTTTTCCAGAACAAACTTCTGTTAAATTATAAATCAAATTCTGAAAACATGGACCAGGCAAACAAAGTGGTTGCAATTCTGTTGCTTTTTTATATTTGTGGAAGGAAACAAGAACATTCAGTTGCTTTTTTGCAATTAACGAATCACCACTAGGACTCTTGGGAGCACAGTGCTCTAGTTGGCTTAGTGCGAACTTGAGAATCCCGCAGGGAATTGTTAATTTACAGTTTTAAGTAACCAAATGCTAGCCTTCTGCTTGCAGAACAAAGGAACAGATTTTCAGTCAATAAACAAATTCTGAAAACAACCTGTGTTGGTGGAGTGCTTTCCTGTCAAGTTCCCAAGCTAGTTCTGTGGCAAATTCAGGTTGATCTGTATGTTCCACTGGATCCGTAGCTAATTGTTCACCATCAAATTTTGCTTCTACTACAAGTGTATGCTTTGGACGTTTAGGAAAATAACGGCCTAGAAAAGGAGAAAAATATGTTTATCAAGAAGCTACAGGACTACACAACACTGCCAGAAATCCAACACTATCACATGATAACTGGAACTGGCAAACTCTATGAGCACCAGGACCAAATGGGTAATCTGAGCTCCCTGCACAGGGCCACAGGGAGCCAGAAAATTTAATACTGTGCCATATTAAATAAGGAATCAGGAAGAACCTAGCCAGGTACATATGGTTTTTTTTTAATTATGAGGGCAGATTACACCAATCAGAAGTAACTAAGCATATTGCAGAATGTGAGTCAAATATTCAAAAGGTTTTTTTAAGCCAGGAAAATACATCTTCCAAAGAGCATATTCTGTTATATGTTACAAAATACTAATCTGAAACATGAAAGAGCTCTGCAGCATCTCTTTGTTGTTTTAGTTACAACATGCCTACCCTTCTGGAAATTACTACTGTCAGAGGAAATAAGAAGCCGGTTTCTACAATTTCCCTTATCCAAATCATAGCAAAAAATGATGATGTCACTAATGACAGCAAACAATAGAGGAAATGATTGTTATACAACTAGCCAAAACTTTATTAGTCTCAGGTTACATCATCATTTAGTGTGAAAACAATAGAGGAAATGATTGTTATATAACTAGTCTCAGGTTACATCATCATTTAGTGTGAAATGACAGGGGATAAAGAGATTTGCATTGCTGATTGAAACAAACACGCAATGTGCAAGAGAAAGACATTTATGGGAGAGCCTACAGTATGAGCTGTTTCTCATGTCTATCACTATCATCACCACCAGGTTGAATGTGTGGCTCTCCAGTCAATTTCAGCACCCCTCAAGATACCTAAGCACTTCTGTTCACTCTAGATTACAGATCGTGTCTGAAGGCATAGCACAAACCAAGATCATTTCACAGAAAACCATAAAATAAGAACCTATACCAGAAGCACCATGTCAAAATCGTGTTCTACTTGCTGTAGGACACTACTCTGAAGAGACAGAAGACTTCTGTTACATTAACAGAGTATGACATTAACAGGATATTACAATCAAGTATTACAAGAACACTCAATTACAGAACCCACTGACCGCTTCTGTCCTCAATGTGGGCAATGATGATCATCCCCCTCTACTTGTCCTGAGATTAACAGAACACCACCTTTCCTTACCCTACTTAAATCCATCTCACTTCTCCCAGGGCTTAATCTTGGTTGAATTCTTACACCTTCGCCAAGAACTCACTGTCTAGAAGTCGACCGTGAACTCAAAAGCTGCAATGAGCTGAAGCTGTGACCCTGGCTGATTCAATTAAAGCACCATGAGACATGGTTGTTGCGGGTTTTTCAGGCTCTTTGGCTGTGTTCTGAAGGTTGTTCTTCCTGACATTTTGCCAGTCTCTGTGGCAGGCATCTTCAGAGGACTGGAGTAGAAACTCTGTCCATGCTCTGTTGCTGTTTGTTGGATAGTTGAGTATTTATAGCTGTGGGAACAGCTATTGTCCTTTTCTGGAGATGGGGTGATGATGGCGATCAGCATGTTTTTGTTGTGGATGTATTGCTGTGATAAGAGGGAGAGATTATCTGTCACTGTGATTGATGGGTGTCTTTTTTTGTGCAATGATCACTGGTCCTTGTGGCTGGGTAGAATTTGTTGACCTTTTGCAGGCTGTATTTTTCAGTGCTGGAAGCTGGGCCTTGTTAAGTTTTAGACTTTCCTCTTTTTTGTTGAAGCTGTTGGGGTTTACGGATTTCAATGGCTTCCCTGTACAGTCTAACATAATGCTTGCTGGTCTTGTCCAGTACTTCAGTATTTTGAAATCAAATTTCATGTCCAGCTTGTTTTAGGGCATGTTCAGCTACTGCTGTTTTTCCGGTTCTTTTAGTCTGCAGTGTCTTCCATTCTGGTGTGAATGCTGCATTTTGTGGTTCCAATATATATGTGTCCACAACTGCAAGGTATCCGGTACAGTATAGTCCTGCAGTGGTGAGGGGGTCCCTTTTGTCCTTTGCTGACCGTAACATTTGTGGGTTTTGTTTTGTTTTTAAACAACAGAGCATGGCCAGAGTTCCTACTCCAGTCCTCTGAAGATGCCGGCCACAGAGACTGGCGAAACGTCAGGAAGAACAACCTTCAGAACAGGCCAAAGAGCCCGAAAAACCCACAACAACCATCAGATCCTGGACGTGAAAGCCTTCGAGAATATACCATGAGACAGTTCAGCTGCTGCAAGCATCCGGAAAAACACCCAGCTGGTATGAAGACATACATACAACGTGAGCATTTCGCGTATGTGGAAAACGGTCCATCCATTTCCAAAGCTGCGCAAGTGAAAAGACTATCTCGCCGATTTATACTACAGTATTTCCACACCACAGCCGCCGCCACCGCCACCACCACCCCCGGTTGCAAACGATCTTGTAAGCCCGTGCATGGCAAAAGCGAACCGGGCAAATCTAGCGGTCTGCCTCGCTCTTCATGTCGGCGACGTTCACAAAGGCAATGCATGGGTTCCCCTTCCTTCCCTCCCTCCTTCCCGGGCACTCGCCCTGCCCGGCGTGTTACCTTCCAGAATGGACACCACAATCAGGAGCGGGTCAGCCTTGGTGCCCATTTTCCCGTCCGGCCAGTTCCCAGCCCCCAGGTCAGCCGGCGGCTCGACTCAGGAAGAGTGGTGGCTCGCAACGTCCGAAACGGAGCTCCGGCTGTTTTCCCGTGTCAAGTGCCAACGCCCGAACCACTCCCAAACCCTTCTCTCCGGTCCCGCCGTCAAGGGCTCCTTTCGCGCCTCAGACCCGCTTTCCACCCGGTGACCGCTTAGCAACCCTGCGGCGTAAAGCTATGCCAGGACGGACCACAGAGACGAAGCCCGGAGAGGAAAGAGCGGTGCGGCTCGAACCTCCCTTTACTTCCGGTTCCTCAAAGCTTGCCTCTTTTAGAAACAAGCAACCCGCTGCGCCACCTATCGGAGTGGCACGGATGCGAACATTGGCGGCCTTAGCAGAGGGCTGGATGTAATGGGAGGAAGCCGAACAAACCTTGCTTTGGGACTGGTTACAGCCTTTGTAGGGGAAGAGCAACCTATGTGCTGTATGTGAACAGTTGTCTGTTTCGTTTCTCGTGCCGACCGTGTTGTAGAACTACTCCGGATGGGTAGACAAACCGCCGAAGCATACGAAGAACTAAGCTAAAATCGCGAATGCAGATAAAATGGATTACTCCAGCACTTCCTCCAGTAAACACACCTTAGTTTTATCTCGATAGTGGACACGGGAATGTAGGTTACTAGAAATTTAAACCAAAGTCAAGGGTGGATAATATTTTTATTAGACCTGTAAGAATTAGAAACAGAAGCTAGCTTTGGACCTTGTGTGGGTGGGTCTTCATCAGGTTGGGCACACAGTTGCGAATGGTGCAGAAGAAAAAAACAAAAATACATACAGAAATACAAAGAATCATGGCCAAATATCACTGCCAATTTCCTGTTAAAAATTAGTTTCCAGAAGGGGCTGCAAACTTCATTCAGGAGTGTAGATTTCAAATTCCTGCCTAGTTTTAATAGGCAAAAGGACTGCCAGTCATTCATTATTCCACAGAAACACACCGGAACCCTGGCCATATATATAGAAATTTTTGTTGTACATACATATATAACATGTATAAGAACTGAACAGCACCTCAATCAAAATTTTTCTGGATCCCTGAAGGATGCAGTAAATCACTAAGAACATGTACTTATTACAGCAACAAACACATATTTTAGCAAAACATTTTGACTTCTGCCTTCTTGAGTGCTGATAATTGCTGTTTCTCTGATGGTTGTTATATAACCTAGGACACGGTATTCTGAAAAGGATGAATTGTGTTATTTATTATCTTCCAGGTTCAGGCCTTGATGTGTTAAGCTATTCAGTCTGTAAATAAAGTTTTCCCTCTTTTATAATGTGTCTGGATTTGGTAGTAACTCTGTTCCAACTAAACACAAGTCAGATAGGTCATGATATTCAGAGTTAAAATGTCTAGATATTGGCTATTCCAACTTCTTAGTCAAGATGGCAGACTTATCATTTATGAATTTTACAGATCTGTCATTTTGCCTACATACTACAGATATGACTTCATACATTTCTTCTTACAGCCCCTCAAATTTGGAATTTGAATTTTCCTTCTAGAAGGATATGTAAGCAGCCTTTCTTCTTTCAAACCTCTCTTCAAAACATTTTTATAAAGTGTTTGGTACATAATTCTCACATTGTAACCAAACTAACAGCACAGGATGTGACTAGATTCCACTGAGTTCAATAGGACCTATTCCTGTGCAAGTATATATCAAATCACACCCAAATAATTTCAAGAATAAGCAATTTTAGGTAGAAATTTCCCCAATACTGGCCACTTTCCATTGATTACTGGTTCATTTCCATATCAGGTTCAAGGTACTGATGCTGACCTATAAAACTTTAATGATTCAAGAATGCCTCCTGTCAAAATGGACTGCCTGTCGTACCTGTGCATCTCAGGCTGGGTGGCTGAAGATGCTAATCCTGAGAGAGGCCCAGAAGGAGAAAACAAGAAACCAGGCCTTCTTGGTGGTTGCTCCCCTGCTCTGGAATGAATCACTGTCTGAAATTTGCTTGCCCCTTTTCTAGAGATTTTTAAGAAACCTTTAAAAACTGTTCTATTTTGGCAGACCTTTCAAACTATACCACCTTAAAAGCCCCACTGAGCTTATATATGTTTAACACCTGTAGCTACTGCCTGGTTTTACATTACTGTAACTCTATTTGTTGTTTGTTAAATTATGTGTTTATACTGTTTACACTGCTTATGTTTGTACATCGCTCAGAGTGACCATCGATCAAATAGATAGTTTAGAAGTTTGAAAAACCAACAAACAGATGCAGCAGGAGTGTTGATGGCTGACGAACACACTGCAGGAATTTAAAGATCTGTTGGGCTGAAAATGCCAGTACTTCTTGATCTAGCTGAAAAAAAGGAAGAATATCTGCCTCATCACTTGCCATCCACTAATGTTTCTTAGAATGGCCCTGACTGTATGTTTCAGAATATCTTTTTATCTGTCAACCTATGTGACCCTCATTCACTCTATGGATAGGAAGGCATTTGAGGGAATGATACCTTTATTAGAACCCAAAGTAATCACAAAAATAAACTAGCTTTCAACTCTGTGTTCATCTTCATCAGGCTGTGCATCACAAAACATTGGGTGGTGCAGAAAATCATGGCGAGATGTGCTTGCCAGATTCCTTCATTAAAAGTCAATTTCACAGTGGGAGCTGTAGATTCAAGTCAGAGGTGTAGATTTCAGATTCCATCGCTGGTATAAATGTCTGTCCCAGTCTTGTTAGACAAACAGTTGCCAGCTATTCAGCATCCCCCTGCAACCCACTCCCGTTGTTCTATATGGAAATACTTTTTTTGTTGCTATGAATAAACATGCAAAGAATTTGGGATAAAATTCAGTCTACACAGAAAAGCTAACTTATATCTCTGATTTCTTAGTGGACTAATAAAGGTCTCACCCATCCTTGCCTTTGGAGTGTGTACAAGAGCTGCAGCTCCCAGAAACTTGAGCCAGCACAGCTGGTGGTGAAGACTTCTGGGAACTGCAGTCCAAGAATACCTAGGTTACTCAAGGTTGGGAACCATTGCTTTACACTTCCAAGCAGCATGCTGATGGGGTGATTCTGAGAGTTGTTATTTGAGAGGTAATGACTCCGAGCCCCAGTCTGAGTCCCATTTTGCCGTCCCATCTATTTTCCAGTTCTTCTCAATTTGTATGTCCATATGGGGGTCAGATCAGTTGGTTTCTCTCCCTCCCTCCCTCTCTCTGTGCCTTTTTGATTTCTTACTGGTGAAAAGTCATAGCACTACATACCAGTTTCATGCATGTCAAAAGTTTTTAATGTGTGTTTTGGCTTCCATGGACGGCTTTAGGTCCTGAATGGCCAGTCTAACTGATGTGGAGTACCTGAACCTTGCAAGACATACACTATTGCTCACCAGCCCCACTTTCATATCCCTTGTTTCTCCCACCTAAGCAGATTGCCTACCTTTTTGTTCTAAAGAGCCTGTGGATTTAAAAATCTTGCAACAGGCAGAAATATAGAAGAGGAAGTTTTTCACATATCCACATTTGAAGAAGCTTACCTGTTGAATTACAGTACTTTTGATGGTACAAAGCTGGTAAGTATGTCCACGTTACGGCATATTGCAGATAACTATTGCTGTGCTGAAAGAGGAAGGAGGTGGAGGGGAGAGAGTGTGTACGAGTTGAAGCTGAGCTTCCTGCTTACACACCTCACCCTTTTGTCATATCACTATTGGCAACACAGGCAGGCAATTGGAGAGCCTAATGAGCAAACAGGCTCTCTGCAAATTTTCTGCAGGTCTGATTCAGTCAGCTTTTTCCTTCAGAGAATATGTTTTGCTTATTTTTTCCACACTTTCCTTTTTTGAAATCGCCATCCATTGTCATCCCTTGATCTATGCTTCTGCTTGTCCAGGTGCATGGGGTTGTGAGGGAGAGAAGTAACAAGGGTAATATAACTAATCCAGTGTAACATTAGCAATACCTTGGAATTTTTATCTTTGGAAAGTATAATCCCCACAAACCCCTAGCAAGTACAGTACAGCCTGTAAACTACACTGCCCTAGCAGTTTCTGGCGATTGAAATGCAAAAAGTAACATTTTCAAGGTCTAACCCTAGCACAAATATATTCCAACTTCTTGTTTCTCAATGTCCAGTCCTTTAACTTTCCTAAAGTTTCTAGAAGCCACACTATGATGATCCCAGGGATGGGGACTCAAGTCATGATACTTGCTGTCAAGTTATTTATTATTTATTATTTATTTTATTTATTTTATTTATATCCCGCCTATCTAGTCAATAGACCACTCTAGGCGGCTCACAACAGGGGTACAACAATAACTAAAAACAAATTTACAAAGAAGAAAACTTTCAACCATAAAATTATACACTAAGAAAAGGAAAAAAGGAAAATCAGGATTAGCTAAGGGAGGGTGGGGGGAAGGCCTGCCGAAACATCATTGTCTTTAATTGCTTTTTAAAAATACCCAGCGAGGTTAAGTTAGACTTAATTCACACCAGTGACTTGACTTGTACTCAACTTAACTTGTTTTTAATAGAGACTTGGAGCTGAGGCTTGCGACTTAGGACTTGGTACCAAAGACTTGGGCTCAGATTTGGCTCTTGGACTCAAAGACTTGCCAACATTTCTAGATGATTCTCAGTAAAATATTTTTCCCCCAATGCAGCAGTTGCTCTTTTGACCAGTTCTAGGTTTTCTTTTCTTCTCTCTTCCTATGCTGTCAATAACGAAGTGAAAGAGATGGATTTAATCTACAGCCCATTAAATTAATTCCACTGACATTTTAAAAATCATCATTCCTTACATGATTTAAATCCATATTTCTGAAGTTATTAAGTATTAACAGCCCCACTGAAATTAATACAATTACAATATCCATTCCACAGTCCACTGCAAATGCCTTTAGTGAACCCTATATCCAACATACAAGGAGGCAGGAAAAAGGTCACAAGGGCAGCCCTCTTATATGTTGGCTCTAGAGGTGTGATAAACTGCAGATAACAGAATCCACAGGTATCAAACCTACAGACACGGTGTCGTACTGTATTTATGATTTTGTATGATCAGGATTTATCTCCCAGATTGTTAATCTGTGTCAATTTATCATCCAGGCACCAAAAAAATACCAGCTATGTACAGTTCAGTAATATCAGGAAAATTGTCCATTTGTTTAAGAGAATTAATGTTTAAAATATATAAATTATAGATAATAATACCAGTACTATTTAAGCAAGAATATCTATATGGTGCCATATCATTGTTTGCAAGAAAACATTTTTATT